TTCGAACACAATAAACAAGGCATTAAAACTCTATATGGCCGGCGGACAAAAAGCATATGACGAGATACGCAGACAGAACTTACCATATCCAAGCATTCGCACATTACAAGCTTGCACTATCCCATAACAATTATCAGGTTTATATAGAAAGTATCGCATTTTTAAAAGATTTTCTAGATATTGTTCGAGGAATAAGAGTTGGAGACGGGAAGTGGAAACCGTTCCAGACCGGTTTATTGTTATGCACACAAACTGCCCTTGATGTGCAGATATTGTATTTAGAGAAACATAAGTTTTCGTACTTGCTATTAGGCAGATTCACTCAGGATGCATTAGAAAACTTGTTCTCAGCAGTACGCAACAAAAACGCAGTACCTGATGCACGGGAATTCAAGCAAGCATTAAGGCTTATTTGTTTATCGCAATTTCAAACAGACGTTCGTCGTTCCAATTATTCGGCAAATGACGCTGATTACATTATTGAATATTGTAACGACATAAGAAAGTTAGAGGTGAAAAGTAAGGAAAATCTATGTCTCGATAATATTGATGAGGAATTATGGGATGAACCATTATATTCGCCATTAATTGGAAACGAAGATAGCCTTAATGATGTAACGCAAAACTCTCTATACCACTAATAGGTGCCTTATTATGTGAAATAAAAAAAATTTTCAAACATTGCGATAAATGTTTCAACGTTCTTCTTGCAGATTGTCACGATGCTAATAATAATCTAAGTTATTACACAACATTACGACAGTATAAGAATAACGTTTTACTTTTTCCAACCACTGATGTATTTAATATTATGTATAAGTGCGAGTTATCATTTCGAAAAAACGAGACAAAAATACTGTCAAATTTATTACCAGCTACCGAATTTGTTGATGCATTTTTAAGCAATAATCCAACATTATCGATTCCGTCGTGCCATAATATAATGACTAAATTGATTAAAACTTTTGTTACAGCACGAATTCACTTTTCTTTAAAAAAAACCATCTTAACGAGGCAAATGCCAACAATAGTCGTAGCGTTGCCATGAAATTATCTGTAAGAAATGTTAGGTGTTATACTAATAAAAAAAGTAACAAACATTTATTGTTTTTCCTTATTTACACAATGTATTCATATACATATAGACGTTTTGAAAGAACCGCGTGTGGTTGGAATAAAAATGGCGGACCATTGCGGTACTTTATCTATCCAGTGACTTTA